CAGCCAGGTTGGATGAGCCTTGAGCAACCTGCTCTGGTGGGAGGTGTCCCTGCCCAGGGCAGGGGTTGGGGCTGGATGATCCCTAAGCTCATTTCCAACCCCTAAAATTCTATGATGTGCAACTGCTGAACTTCAGTCTATGCTTCAGCACAGAGAGGGTTTCCATCCCAGCTCTGGGAAGCTGAGCTTCCCTCTCACCCCTTCCCAAGCCCTGAAGCTGTGTCCATCTCTGTGCACCAGCTGAGCCAAAGTCAAGCCCTGCAGTCTCATTCAGGACACAGAAAGCCAAGTCTTTTGTGATTCCAGAGGCCCCAGGATCCAGCCCAGAGAGGAGCCCTTTCTGCTCCACGGTGGATGCTCCAACTGCTGGATATTTTAGGTAAAGGCTGTCTAGACAGAAAGCTGAGCTGAGCTGCCCTTTTAAGTGCATCCGCCTCCCTGTGCCTGCTTTTTGGTCCTGAATGCAAATGATTTCCATGGGCTTTGCAAAATCCCTTTGTCATAAAGAGCCGTGTCAGAGGCACAGAAAGGCAGCACTGAGGGGGTGGAGGGAGCCCACTGTGGCCACAGGGTTTCAGCAGCCAGAGAAGAGTATGAGCCTGTGAGCAGGAAAACCACCCAGCAGAGCTCTGGGCATGCTCATAGCCAGCCCTTTGCTGACTTTTATTGGCCTCCTGTGTAAAAACAAGGAGCAGCATCAGAACTCCGAGAGCCAGAGAACTCAAGAGAGCTCCGAGAGTGAAAGCTGCCCTGCTCCATTAACTCCAAGCCACACACTTGAGCTGTATTAGGACAGCTAATTGCCTTTGATTCATTCCAAAGCACTCCTCTAACTTCAGAGAGGATTTTTACCTCCTCAAGCCCATATCCTTTCAACTCCTTTGCTGTTAGTGCTATGTGCTGCCCAGAGGCTGTCAAAACCACAGCGAGTTTCCCGGAGGGATGCTGAGGCCCCGTGAGCTGCACCGGGGGCTGTCAGCACTGTTTACTCCCAGGCTGTTATTTGTGGTTTCCCCTGGGCAGTGAGTCGGTTATTCCATTTTTCTCCTGCATCTCTTCAGCTCTGTGTTTATATCTTTGTTCTTCAGGAGGAGGAAGAAAAGGAAACAGCATGGAAAGGACAGATAACACCCTCTTCATGCTGCTTCTAGAGTGGACCCATCAAGAGGGTTTTTAGAACCCTTTCAAGCAAGCAGCCAGAAACAAAGCAAGAAGTTTTTACAAGGCAAATTTGAATGTTTCCCTAAGTTCTGCAAGCCTTGATGTGCTCACATTACTCCTCAGAACAGCAGGGAAAAGGCTTCACCCCTGGGATGCTGAAGAACACATTACACTGCCCTAAAACCCAACATGAAGGAAACACAGAGGAGAAATTGCAATGTGGAGCAGAAATTGGAACCTAGAGCAGAAATTGGAGCTGAATCCCCAGAAAGAAAGCAGCTAACATAACCCCTTCCAGCACAGCCCCAGCCCTGCTTGCAGGGAGGTTTTACATCGAGACAGGACTGACATGGCAGGGAAAAACATGCCCTTGGCCAGGAGCAGAGGGTTTTAAGGGCACTGACTTCCCAGGGTTTCATTCACAGACACTCCATTCTCTTTGGACCTAGGCAAGGAGACAGAATAAAGCACAAATAGAAAACACACTTATCTGAGACAGCCAGTGGTTAAGCTGATGGAAGACATCACTAAATGAGTGCTGTGCATTGAAAACCCCTGAATGATAGGACCTGCAGCTGATGGGACTATTTTACAGAGAGAGTTTTCCCTTCACAAACTGCATATGCACTGTACACTTCAAAAGCAATCTCCTCTGGGGAAGGAAACAGCCATTAAGGAGGTAACTGTAGCATAGAAATATATACAAAGTTATAGGGAGGGGAAATCTATGACCACAACTGCATGGTAAAACCTGTTTCTCTGATGCTGAAAGCTAAGTATCAACAGGGGCAGGAGCAGCACAGGCAGCTCCTGGCACCAAGGTAGCAGCCTAGGTCTGCCAGGAAAAGCCAAGCTTTCCAAGCAGTGTCTCCAGAGCAGACTCTCAGGTTTCAAGGTTTGATCAAGAGCCTGAGCACAGCTCACATCCTCAGCTATGAAGTGGACAAGTCACATCAAAGCACCGAGGCTTGCAGTGGTTTTGATATTCAAACACCCTTAAGAGGGTTGGAAAAGGGTGAACTGAAGATGCAGAAACATTAGCTCAATTGCATCATTCCTCTGGGGATGAACTTCAGAAACAGGTTCCTCAGCAACTCACTGCAGCAACTTAGGAAGCCAGACAAGCTCAAGTGCCTGCAGTGCTGTTCCTGCACAGCCCAGTGGCACCCTCAGCCCCATGGCTCCGAGGGAACACCTCTCCTGCTGGAGAAAACAGCACAACAGTCTGTCAGGCACATCCAGCAGGGCTGCTAAGCTCTCCCAGGGAAAATCCAGGACATTGTAACTTTACCCTGCTCTGGTTTCAGACCTCCCACCAGCATGGAGTCTGCAGCTGATGCTGTTGGATGCTCGAGCTGGGAAAAGCAGGTTTTGCATCCAACAGTTGCTCCTTTCCAATCCTCCT